CCCTCCCCATCCACCAACACGGGCACATCACTCACTCCCCTCTTCCAACCCCCTCTTCTTCTCCTGCAACCCAAAACTCCGTCTCCAAGTCCTCCCGCATCGGCACCTCCTTCAACACAAACGCCACCAAAAATCCCAGCAGCGCAAACGCCAGCGCAACATACCACACAATCCGCAAACTATCCACATACACACCCACCACGGTAGCCTTCACCCCCGGCTAATCATTCAACGAGGTGATGAACTCCTTGGTGGCGAGCTCGTACGCACCCCCATTCGCCAGACGGGCTTGCAGCTCTGGATCATCGCTCAAACGCGAAGTGATGAGATGGTTGACTTGGCTATTGAAGACAGCGGACGGAATGGCAACGCCCCAGATGCCGCCGAGACTGCGCAGAAAACGCCCATGTGGCAGTCGCGACGGCGACATCCGCTTCGGAGAGAGGTGCTTGGAGGGCTGGGAGAGTGGTGGTGAGGAGGGTGCCGACGCCGGCGGCGCCGAGGATCTGGAACCCGACCCAGTCGCCTTCAGAGGAGGAGGCATCGAGGAGGGTGAGGAGACCACAGGCGAGGATGAGAAAGGCGAAGCCGGTGAAGTGGAAGGGTCGGTAGCGGTTCAAGGTGGAGAGACCGCCGCCGGCGAGGATGGCGAATGGAATGCCGGTCACGGCGCTGGGGACGAGGTCCACGCCTGAGCGGATCGGGGAGGCTTCCTTGACGGCTTGGAAGTAGACGGGCAGGAAGTAGGTGATCCAGTAGGTGAGCATGGCGTGCATGAAAGTGAGGCCTAAGGCGCCGAGGGAGGTGCGGTTGCTGACCGGTGATGGGCTGCTGCTGGGCGGGTATGCAGAGGATTCGGACGACATGGCGACGGACAGCAGCTGTAATTTGGAAGCATCATCTGGACACCATGCTGGATCACTTTTATACAGACAGGGTGCAGGAATCCAACTGAGTCAGGGCTGGGTGGGGCTCCTGACACCCTGACTCGGCAGCGGGTGGGGGGCCTGACTCAGAACGGGCGACTCGGATTGGTGGGTTATGCAGAGTGCACCCAATCAGGATTCACCGTGGCTATGGAATCTGCGATCTATCATGAGAGGCATCAAGACAAGTTCTTCCGTCCTGCATACATCCAGGAATCATTTTGCTTAACCTTGACTTAGGAATAGACATATCTCCCCGAAGTCAGTGTGCCCTCCATTCCGACATGATCGACCAGTTCTTGGCGTGGTGTGAGATCCTGATATTAGAGATATATCGCTTATCAGCACTGCCAGTGGCTGATCTTAATGTTGAATCTCATCATAAGGTTGAATATGGCGACGAGCTTCTTCTCTGTAAGAAGTACTGCATATATCCATCCTATTCAGGACGATAAACAACATCCTAGAGCGTAGCGAGATCAGTCTAATCAGCCAGTGAGTCCATGGTCAAGAGACAGTCCAGTTTCGAGACACGTGGCTTCGCTCGAATTAAGAAGCATGGTTGGCAAGTCAAGCTATATATTATGGATACTTAGATCAGGATGGCATCGTGGGAAAGATCGTGAGTGAGAGGTGGAGATCCGTGGGGAATGGGTATATATATACTATGTATCTAGCAGATGCGGGAAGGCGGCCTTGTGGAAATGTCTCCACATTGAAAGGAGAAGGTGAGCACAGCATTAGAGCATGCCCTGCTGGATCTATACTCCAACGACGTCGATCAAAGATTGTGAGATTGACTGAGCAGAGGCTCATCTTTTCTCCTTATGGTTCACGCAGCCCTAAGCCCCACTATTCTCCTATAGAATCCGCGTATGCACGGACCACATCGGTGATCGTCCGTCTATACGCGTATAGATAAAGTTTCCCCTGACCGATGGGATCGGTGGCAATCTTGGTTTGCCTGTTCTCGAGTTGATTAAAAACTGTCTCAGATCCTGATCGAATTCTTTACATCCACCATTCTCTCCCTTCTACTCATATAGCATATCCTTCACCAACTCCCCGATGGAGCCACACGACCAGCCTCCGCCCTATGAGGCGCTTTCCAATTCATCGGAGGGGTCTAATCCCTGGGAAGGCCAGGACACACATGTCAAAGGTCTTGAACCCCCCACTACTCCCGTCAAACCAGCCCTAACACCATCCAGATGACGGCCGCGTCGTAGTAGACGCCAACTCCAAACTATGCCGAACCCTCTCCCGACTCATTCCCCGCGTACAACATGAAAACCTCCCACCACCCGCCCACACAGAACCCACCCACCCCCCCTACCGGCTGAACATCGTAATCCAAATCGTCGGCAGCCGCGGCGACATCCAACCCTTCCTCGCCCTCGGCACGGCCCTCCAAGCCCACGGGCACCGAATCCGCATCGCCACCCACGACACCTTCGCCCCCTTCGTCCAAGCCTCCAATCTCGAATTCTACCCCATCGGCGGCAACCCCAACCAACTCATGGCCTACATGGTCAAAAACCCCGGCCTGATCCCTCGCATGAAAAGCATCCGGGCCGGCGAAATCGCCAAGAAACAACAGATGATGGCCGAGATGCTCCGCGGGTGTTGGCAATCGTGTATTGCTCCGGATCCGGTCTCGGGGACACCGTTCGTGGCGGATGCCATTATTGCCAATCCGCCGAGTTTTGCGCATGTGCATTGTGCCCAGGCGTTGGGGGTGCCGCTGCATTTGATGTTTACCATGCCGTGGAGTGCGACGGGGAGGTTTCCGCATCCGTTGGCGAATTTGAGGAATGGGGGGGAGAGGGAGTGGGTGAATTGGGTTTCGTATGGGGTGGTGGATTGGTTGGCGTGGCAGGGGTGGGTTCCTCATTTATGTCTAGTCTGTGCGTGTAGAGGTTGTTCTAACTGGATAATAGGTTAGGAGACGTCATCAACGACTGGCGCAAGAACGATCTAAATCTGGAGCCGATTGCTATGTCAGAGGGTCCATTCCTTCTCCAGACGCTGAAGGTGCCATATACATACTGCTGGTCTCCGGCATTGGTGCCGAAACCGGATGACTGGCCTGCAAATCTGGGTAAGTCTCATCCCCTATTCCCTTGGCCTATTTTGTTCATCCCTAACCCACTGCAACTACAGAAGTCTGCGGCTTCTTCTTCCGCGACCCACCCGACTACAAGCCCCCTGCCGCCCTCGAAACCTTCCTCTCCTCCGGACCCCCTCCAATCTACATCGGCTTCGGAAGCATCGTCCTCGATGACCCTGAAAAGATGACCCGGATACTCATCGAAGCCGTCCAGCAAACCGGCATCCGAGCCTTAATCTCCCGCGGATGGAGCAAGCTCGGTGGCATCGACTGCGAGAATGTCATGTATCTGGATGACTGTCCCCATGAATGGCTCTTCCAGCGTGTCAGTGCAGTGATTCATCATGGTGGGGCGGGGACGACGGCGTGTGGGTTGCGGTATGGGAGGCCGACGTTTATCGTGCCGTTTTTTGGGGAGTAAGTGGATACTATACTATTGCCTTTGGCTTCTGCGTAGTTCTGGTTAGGGCTAATTGTTCATTTTGTCTGCAGCCAGCCGTTCTGGGGTGAGATGGTCGCTGCTAACGGCGCAGGTCCGAGCCCGATACCGCATGAACATCTTGACGCGGAGAAACTTGCTCAGGCGATTCGCTACTGCATCGGACCTGATGCTATGCGCGCAGCGGGAGATATCGCCACCAGGATGCAGCATGAATCCGGGGTACAAGCTGCGGTTGCGTCTTTCCATCGAAACTTGCCAGCGGGGCTGAAGAAATGCGAAATTATGCCGCAGTTTCCAGCATCCTGGGTGGTAAAGAAAGGGAAGAAGAAGTACCATCTATCGAAAGTTGCGGCGGAGGTCCTGCTCGATCATATGAAGATTTCGAGGGATAAGATGAAGCCGTATGTTCCAATGCCAGTCCATTTCTTGCTAATAGGGCATCGCTGATAAAACAGGTATCAATCCAATCCCATCATCATCGAGAATGAACGATGGGATCCCATCACGGGTATCTCCTCCGCTGGACTCGGTTGGACGGTCGATATACTCAAAGCGTCCGGCGATATTGTGTATCAGCCCTACAAAGTCATGAGACAGGAAGGATCTACCTCTCGACCCTCATCACGGTCCACGGATCGTGAAACCCCACTCTCCAACCTCACTCCAGAACCTCACCTCCACAAATCAAAATCCATGTCCAGCATACCACCATCCACCCCTCACCCCCAAGCGCAAAGCAAAGCAGCCGCCATGGCCTCCGCATCCGCCAAAGCCACCGGTAAGGTCCTAACCAAGTACGTCTCCGGAATCATGGTGGATATCCCCTTAGCAGCAGCCGAAGGATTCCGCGTTTTGCCTGGGTTATACGGCGACAAAGTGCACGATTACGGACACGTCAAGGATTGGAAGACGGGGACGATTGCTGGAGCGAAATGTTTTGCGCTGGGAATGGGCGAAAGCTTCACGGATATCTTCTACCAGCCGTATCGCGGGGCAAAGGCGAATGGGGCGGTGGGGTTTGCGACGGGGATGGTCAAGGGGACGGTGGGGGTCGTGGGGAAGATGGCGCATGGTGTGTCAGATGTATTGTTTTTAACGCTATATTTGCTGACTGGTTCTAGCTGGCCTCGGTCTGGTGGCGTATCCTGGACAAGGTATCAAACGGACGATTCGGTCTTCGTGGAAGAATAAACGCCAGAAGGAGATTGTGGCGGCGTTGCATGCGGATGGGGTGAGTACACTGCGACATGAAAGAGGGCGGGGATTGAAGGATGCGGTGGTCATTGATTTATTTCGTCAATTGTGGCAGAAGGATGACACTGTTGATGATAGCGATGACTATCTGTAGTAATGCTACATCATGAAATAGTCCTATTATGGTATATGATTCGTCTGGCATACGTAGACTGCGGTAGAATCGTAGTCTCATCAAGGACCATAGATGGTGCCAGGCTACTTCTGAAATAATGCCAGGATTTCCTTCTTATCATACGCAGCGGCGATATCCTGAATAAACGGTTAATGATCGGTATGCATCGAAACAGACGGGGAACTGACCACTGGAGTTCGCTCTTTATTATCCTCTTGCTGAGGATCCAATCCCGTCTCCATTAAATAGCTAAATGCCTCGACGAACCTCTCGCGCGGATAGACGCCAAAACGATCCTGCGGTACCGGGATCTTGGCGACCACATGCAGAAGAGACTCGCCCTTGCTGTTTATGACTGAAACATCTGCCCCCGCGGCAAGAAGACGGTCCATCATGGACCCCCGAAGAGAGGGCAGGGAGGAAAGAGTCCGCACATAGTTGAATATCGGCGTATCGCCATTGTTATTCCGGGCGTTGATGTCCAGTCCTCGCTGCAAGAGCCCGGAGAAATCCTCCCACAGGTCCTCCGGCGGAGATAGATTAAAGCGGTTCGCTTTTTTCGCCTTACGGAGAGACTGAGCTAAGTAATGCAAGAGAGAGTTTTGGTCGCTGTCCGGGATGAGGGGATCCGCACCCGCAGCCAGAAGCAGTCGGACAGCCTCCCATTGATGTTCTTTTGCAGCAAGATGAAGCGGCGTGTTACCCTCTTGGTTCTTCTGATTGATCAGATGTGGAGGACATTTACTGATCATCATGGGCAGGAATTGGCCGGCTGACGGGTTCCCGTGCCGCTCGGGCGCGACGAGCAGATGAAGGACAGTATTGCCCTGTTGGTCAGTGATCGACAGGTTGGCGCCCATCTCACACAGCCGGGCAACGGCATGGGCCTTTTGAGTGGACGCAGTGGGGCGCGGTTCCAGATTGTCGAAGACGCGGGTCCTCATGTAATGGAAGTGGTCTTTTTTGTGGCTGACTTCACACGCGGCCAGCAAAAGCGTTCGACCATGTCCGTCCTTTCGCCCCAGATCCAACCCGGTCAACCAGGCAAGAAACGGTTCCACGATTCCGCCCTGGTGAAACACGTCGTGCATGATCGTGGTGTCGTCTCCAAATGAGCAGAAGGGGTCTGCCCCGTGGGCTAGAAAGAGCTCGACGATCTCAACTGCCTTGTCTCGTTCCGCTACCTGATTGAATCGACCAAGTGCGGCATAATGGACAGGCTGGAGTAGCAGGAGACGCTGCTCCTGGTCGCGCTCCTCTTCTTGACGTCGGACTTGTTCGTCAGAACTTCCTCCCCGCCCCCTATGGGGACGGGGTTTCTGAAACCGATCCAGATCAGCCAGGGAATTCTTGAATGGGAGCCGACAGCGGTCCACCCCACTCTCAAGGATAGCATGGACAGTCTCGATGTCCTGTACCGATATCGCTTCAAACAACACCGGTTTGGAGCCCAGCTGCACATCTCCCCCATATCTAAGAAGAAGCTGGACCATTTCGCTATTCCCCACCGCGAAGGCGAGCGGCGTGACGCCTGTCTTGTCCAGTGCGTTCGGATCGGCACCGTGTTCGAGCAACGCTGCCGCAATTCCTAGCCGGCGATATCCACCCTTCACGGCAATATGCAATGGCGTCCGTCCCTCTGCATCGCGCATCGTCACATCCGCGCCATGTTGTAGCAGGTATTGTATTGCAGAGGTGTGCCACCAGTGCTTCCCTTCTGATAAAATATGTAACGCGCTCCGATGCGGTTCATCCTCTGTGTACTCGTTTAGTGACGGGGCATACACGTTCTCGTATGCGCGAATGTTCACATCTGCGTGGAATGTTTCGACGATAGTTTTCAGAAGATCTAGATTGGGAAGTGTGCGTGTCGATGCCGTGAAGATCAGCGGGAGTACATCGATGTGGATGTTGAATGGACGGGACATCACGCCGTCGATCCAGTCGGTCGTATCTCGCGATTTGCCCAGTGTCTCAAATAGACGCGTATACCCCCATTGAGCAAGAGATTGCAGAAAATCCTTTCGGTTATAGATGCGATTCCCAAGCACCTGCTCTTGACGCATGTTCACCCCGCGGTCCCCTAGCTGTTGCAATACGCGGAATGCACCCTGCCTGAGCAGATGTTCGCATTCAGCAACAATATTAGACCGTGAGGCAGCTGCGTCTGTTGTAGTTCCTCCTAGTCGATCGACCAGGGTATCGATGCATTCGTCCCTAGCTGCCAGATACAAGTGTCCCGCTGCTGATCGTGGATGTTGCGGAGTCAAGGATAGTGTATCAGCCAACGCGACAACCATCTCACCGTTCTCTAGATCGACGGCGAGATCAAGAGGCACCCTCCGCAGGCCATCTTCAGCGAAGGGATCCGCTCCGTGAGCGAGCAGTGCGTGGATAATATCCGTCACGCGCAGGGCATCGTTCTCATTGAGGACGGACCGACAGTGCTGCGAGTGCTGTGAGTCGTTCCTGGGTCTTCGAGGGATGGGAAGCTGTCTCCTGAATTCTGCACAGGCGTGTAATGGCGTTTGCCCATTTATATCTTTGATAGTCACATCCGCGCCCGCTTCGAGGAGAAGCATGACGCTCTCCACCCGTCCAGAGCAACAGGCCACATGTAACGGCGTGCGACCGTGTTGATCAGCTTCATTAATGGCCATTCGGCGCTGCGCCTGGTTGGCATAGCTCTCTAACAACAGACCGACTGTATTGCTATCCCTCGCTGCTGCCGCGATATGTAGAATGTTCTCGCCTGCGCGGGTCTTCTTTCCCGTGAGACTTGCACCGCGGCGTATCAACCAGTCGACCAACGCTTCCGAACGAGCCGCCGCTAGATGAATGGGTCGTCGCCCTTGGTGATCTGCCACTTCTAGCATGGCATTGATCTCTGCGACAGGGAGATGGTCGATCGGATTTTGACGCGGATCGAGCAGTCGCTCGGCACTTTGTACCTCAGCGCCGCACATGCAATGCAGAAGGGTCTGGCCGTTATGGTTTCTCGTGGAGAGAGGGATGTCCCCCGCCCGGCGTCGCAACATGTATACCATCGAAACAAGATCATGGGAGAAATATTTGAGGCAGTGCCGCATCAAGACATGCCAGAGGGTGTCGCCATTGTGGTTGAGATGGAGGGGGTCCGCCCCCCCGTCAAGGAGCACACGCAGACTCTCAAGCTGATGAGTATGTTCACAGAGCAGGTGCAGCGCATTATTACCCGCATAATCGGTGGCGCGGATATCAGCGCCTAATTCCAGTAGCTCGGCCAACTTTCTAGCAGGCATATGATCCAAGACAGTGCGCAAGAAGAGCGTGCGTCCCTGGTGGTCTCTCGCTTCGAGATCGGCGCCCACGTCGACCAGAACTCGGACCTGGTCGATGGTGTTCGTCCGATGTAATGGGGTGTAACCCTCATCATTGCGCCAATTTGGGTCTGCGCCCATGGCCACCAGCTTCTGGAGGGTATTTTTGCCGGCCCAGCTACGCAACAGCAGATGGATGGGTGTGTTGCCTTGCTCGTCGGCTATGTTCCAGTCCGTCACGTAGGGTTCCAATAGGTCGAGGTCCAGGTCGTCAATTCCATGCTGTGTGCACCAGGCAAGGAGAGGGACACTGCGGTTGTTCGACATGCCCGCTTTGTCTCCGGCGCATGTCAAGGCGTGAAGAATACGCGCCGCGGACGCGTCCTCGTCCCATTTTTCTGGTTTTAAAAGGTGCAAAGGCGTGTTGCCGTTTTCATCGACCGCATGAGCGTCCGCTCCATGCTCGAGCAGTTTCTCCACCAGCGAGGGAGCCCCCGCAGCCACGCATGCATGCAGGGCGGTACGGCCGGTTTTTGAGCGACTGTCCACATCGCATCCCGTGCGGAGGATGATATCTAGACATTTCTCTTCATCATCTGTTGATTTACGGTGGCGGAAACGCCCCTCTCCCTGTGAGCTGCAGAACGTCATCAGCAGGTTGTATTCAGGCTGTGTTGGTATATCATGGCCGGATGCTGCGAATATATCGACAAAGCGCTGCAAAATTCCGGGATGTTTGGCTTTCGTGGCCCAGACCAGACATGTCTGGATGAACCTTTCCTCCATCATATCGATCTGAGGCAAATCGATCAGAATGTCGACTATCTCCGGTTGACGAGCTTCAATCGACCATTGTAGTGCCGACTTCAGGTCTGAGACGGCTAGATATGGCAGCATGGCTTGAACCGACTCGACAGCGCCGGCCCGACTTGCATATTCTAACGACGACTGCATGCTCCCTGGCAACGGTCTGCCAGTGCATTGTGGAGGGTCATATTTGATCGATCTGCGCACCAATGGGTCCGCCCCCGCTTCCAGAAGCAGCCGTACGACGCCGTGATGGTTCCTCTGAGCGGCGTAGTGCAGTGGTAGTCTTCCATCACGATCGGGCTCGGGATTATGAACTGCTCCATTCTCGAGTAGGAGGGAAACCATGTCTGCGAACCCTTGCGCCGCCGCTCTGGCCAGGGGAGTCATTCCGCAGCCATCCAGGGCGTTCACGTTAGAGTCATGCCCCCCGGCCTGAATCAACGCTTTCGCGTACGCCGTCATATGTCCCCAAGCGCAGACATGCAGCGGGGACATGGAAGAAGACTCCCGCTCTACCTTCATCACCAACTCGACGAAGGCGAGATACGACGGGTTCTCCGGGCGGATGAAGCTATCTAGCAGATCCAGCAGGTCACGCGGGATCTCCGGTAGCCGCGCGACGTGAATGAACCAGTTACAGGCGGCATATTCGATGAAGGGAAAATCCAGCTGAGCACGTTGCATGTCCTTCCACGGGTCCCGGTCCAGGAGAGATCCCGTCTGACGTTTCCAGGTGGTTAGACCACCCGCGAGTAGGTATCGGACGCAGATAACAGCCATCTCGTGGTTTGCCTCGACCGTATCGATGATAGGAAAAGAGGGTTGGTGCGTGCGGTGCCGATCGGTTCGACTGGTATCTGTGAGGAACTCGGTGAACGAATGGTGAATGATCGAGACCGTTTCATCGGGCAAGATCTCCAGCAAGGGTCCACAAGCCATGCGGGTGAGGTTTTTGACGTTTCCTTGCTTTGGCTTGGAGTCTTTGTGTTTACCGTCGAGAAACTCCCAGACAGTGGCAATCTCCAGGAGCCGCAGGGGACGAGTGGCATGCGTGGCGAGCTGCAAAATGAGCATCTGACGCTCGCGCGGCACACCCGCCCGGCGCGAATGATCGTCCAACATGTGCGAATAGAGATCTTCCAGATGGGCTGGAATAGATCGTAGGACGCGTTGGACTGATGGTACGTCCACCGAGGCACCCTGTGCTTCTTCCAGGAGCTCGTTCAACATGAGCCGGGCGTAGAGAAATGATGGAAACACACGGTCCTCGATGAATCGGGTGATCTCGTCGCGGACTGCCGGTTGGATGCTCTCCTTTGCCTGATCGAGCTGAAATTGCACGAAACTGGCGATGTCGCGATTGACGACTCGATCCTCGAGCCGGACCGACGGAACTCCTCCCAGCACGGACTGGATCTGGGGTAGTGGACGGCTGGAGACGAGGACCTTGATGCGATTAGGTCTGTGCGTACCTAGCGCGACGAGACGGCGCAGCAGGTCTGGAGCATCGTTATCGTCGACTTCATCCAAGGCGTCAGCGACGCAGTACACGCGGGTGGACGTGGCCAGCAAGGCGTCTGTCAGGATCTGCCAAAGCTCTCCAAAGCCGATGTCCGTGATGACTTTGCTCTGCTTCTGGCGGGCGCTGAGCACGCGTTGCAGAGAAGGCGAGTGAGGGAGCAACTGGTGCAGCCAGTCGCGGACCAAGGCGTGGGAGCCATGGCGTTCCGTCACGATCTGGCGAAAGAAGAAGAAGAGGATTGGGGCCTGCGGTTCGTGCTGTTGCAGACGCGCGATGTGGGATGCGGTCAAGACGCTCTTGCCCGCTCCGGCGATAGCCTTGATCCACAGAATGCCATTGGAGTCGGTGTTGTGCCAGTCCTGGTACTGGGGGGTCTGGTCGAGCCAGTCACCTGTTCCCGGGACATGAGCATTCAGATGCTTGTGAAACTCGCTGGCGGGGTCGTGATACGCCGTTGGCTGAAGCCAGGACAATAATTTCGGGGAGAGGGGGGTAACTGGATCATCCACCAGGATGAAGTCGTCGTCCATGGCGGTTTCCTTTACCTCCAAGTGGGGTGTTGTGGAGCTGAAGTCAGACGACGGGTCAGCCTTACTCTTTATACTACAAGGGAACTAGGCAGCCGTCAGGCGAGCACTCACGTGATACCCGTCCGGGGTCTTCGTTCGCCGCAGATGATGCGGACGATGAGAAGACCCCATCTCGAGAAGGACTTGTCTGCGTGTAGCTGATCGCTATGCTGTATAGTCGTGTAGCCGCTATACACCGTTCTGCGGATTGGACTCGCTGGCTGGCCTTTCTGGGCCGCGTCGGATCCACGGTTTGTTGCCTGGGCCCCGCCCTCGCCAGCGGGGAGCCAACTTTTATCTCAAGCCACATCTAACTAAACAAAAAAAACAACAACCGTTGAGTCCGATAGGGCAAGGAAATGTAAAGCGTGGCTAATGTTGAGGCTATCTAGGCTACAGCGGGAAGAACAAAGCGGTGGTGGGTGGCCAACGTGATCCAAGCACGTGATTCTCGCCTACCGACCAACCAGGCGCCTCTTTGATATCGATGTCAACCCCAGTGGGACCGGTCCGATTCACGCGGCTCAGCTTCCACCCCGCGGATGTCGATCCGTTTGGTGGGCCCGACAACGGGCGGAAGCGCCGAGCTGCTCCTCGCAACGCTATGGTCCCCGACCGCAGAGGCAGGTTGGACTGACGCAGTACCCCATTCCTTGATCTAGCATAAAGTTAAAGTAACCTTCCAATACCCAGGAGATCAATATGCTTCAGCGACACAAATCCTAATCTTATCCCGTCGCAAACCAATGGGAGGCCCCGGGAAGAGGATGACCACATTGCTGCATCACCACTCGGTGACCTCATCGTGTAACTGGCTCCTCCCAGGCTGTCTACCTAACCTCCAGCAGACCTTCCTCATATAGGCGAATACCAACCAACTACGCCCAATTAACGGGATCATGGAAACCGTCAAAAGAACTATTGCCGAGAACTTCGGCGGACCCTCTCACAAGCTCAGCGAGGAAAAGTTCGATCTAGACGATGTGCCCGACCTGAGTGGTAAAGTAGCCGTGGTGACGGGCGGCAGTGAAGGTAACATTCTACCACCCTCAATCCTCCTGTAACTCGAATCTGATAGGCAAATTCCCCAGGGATCGGCTTCGGGGTCACCCATACCCTGCTCTCGAAGAAGATCTCAAAGCTCTTCGTGATCTCCCTTCGAAAAGAAGTCGCCGACGATGCCATCTCCGCCATCGAAGAAGAGTTCGGTCCCGACACACGCCACCGCTTCGTCTGGATCCAATGCGACCTGTCGGACTGGGAGCAGACAGCCAAGGTGGCAGGCGACATCGCATCGCAGACGGACCACATCCACATCCTCGTCAATAACGCCGCCCGGGGCGTCATGACCCGGCAGTTGGCCCCGACCAACGGGATCGACCTGCACATGGCCCTCAACCACATGGGCCACGTCGTGCTGACCTCTCATCTGCTGCCAACACTCAAGAAGACCGCCGATGCAGGCGAAACCGTGCGCATCGTCAATCTCTCGTCCAACGTGGAAGCCAGCGCGCCCAAGGATACCGAGTTTGCGTCCGTCGAGGAGCTGAACCGCGACTATGGCCCGAACGCGCAGTATGGTCGGTCCAAATTGGCCGTGCTCTTGCATGCCAAGTGGTTGAACGCCCATCTCAAGCCCACGCATCCCAATATCATCGTCAATGCGTCCCATCCCGGTGTGGTGGATACCGCGCAGACCAAGGTCCACATCCATGAGCCGTATCCGCTGCTCGGATACGGCTTGTCCGCGGGCTTGAAACCGTTCCGGAAGAACCAGTTCCAGGGCGCCGTGTCCACCCTGTATGCGGCCACCGTGGCGACCGAGGGTGGACAGTTTATTACCCCGCCGCGGATCGTGGAGAGGGGCAGTGATAAGGCTAATTATATGCAGCTGGCTGACCGGCTGATGAAGCTGACCGCGGAGGTGGTGGAAAAGAAGACGCGACCGGAGAGTAGTGCCAAGGGGTGCCCGTTCAAGGAAGATTAGATTCGACCCAGCGTAGAGAAGATGGTTCTTGATGTCTTACTCTGTTGCTGAAGTACATCTGGCAACGGATGTCGTGGTACGCCACGTATGACTGGAAGGAGCGTTTTGTAACATACATGAATGTTATATCCAAAAGCTGGTTGAGATTAATTGTTCTGGATGATGTAACTTTCCAGCTCAGACAGACCCTTACTGTAGTACTACGTCTGGTTATCGATCGACTCGGAGCTGACACCTTCACTTAGATCGCTCAGTACCAATCGCGAGTTATCCACGGGCTGCGATTAGGAAATCCCTTGGGGAAATTCATACAGTCTCTTGAGAAGAAGCAAACAGGCCAACCAATTACTCATTCGAAAGGCCTCCGTAATTTTCCTCTTTATCCATGAACAAATTCCTTGAAGCAATCCATGGTCAGACTGGCATCCCAGGGCCAGCTGAAGCAAGAGTCAGATCCAAGCCAATCCATCTCTACCTACAGTGCATATTTAAGGTCAAGATAGCGCAAGATACCGGATAATTTATAGTCTCTAGAAGAGCCTCGATTTTCCTGTTCGCGGTTACTAATTCCCCCCACAACAAGCGGACCCTGCATATCATTATAATTCTCATTCGGATCCTCAAACGGCCCGTAGTTAACCCTCCCACCCCGGGTATTCGAAGCGAACGGTACACCATGCTTAATCCGACTGATCAGATCCTGAATACGCATATTAGCCACACCCCGTTCACAGGCCAATCCCTCCACACTATCACTCATATCCACTCACCGGGTTATAAATAAACGGTCTCGCAAACGTCACAAGATCAATCTTCCCTTCCTTCACGAGTTCCGTCGCCTCCTCAACCGTATACTCATGATCGTCCGGCTCCTCGGATACTTCACAAGCGATCCAAACTGAGCCAATGGCTCATACTTGTCCGGCAATTCCTTTTCCTTCGGCCTGGGTTGAGATCTAAGATATGCATCGGTTTCCCACCCGACATCACAGCCTCGTCGGGAGAGATTGATGAATGCTAGATCGCGACGCATGTCTCGGTTAACTCATCATAGGAGATCGTGGTGTCGTTGTAGTCATCGGATGGGCGTATTTTGATTCCTACAGCGCGAGACCCCCACACCTCGATGATGGCGTCGAGGACTTCGAGGGGGAATCGGCACCGGTTTGCGACGGAGCCGCCGTATTGGTCAGTGCGGGTATTGGAGTGGCTGGACGTGTGAGCTTTTGTGGATGAGAAGGGGGGAGGATGGCTTACGAGCAGAGGAAGTTGTGTAGGAGATAACCACTAGTCATGGGCAATGGTAGGGTTAGTTGGGATGTCGATACTTTCATGTTCTTCAATGGAAGTATGGACGTACCCCTGAGATAACAGTTCAATGCCATCAAACCTAGCCTTCTTGGCCAACGTGACCGAGTGTCTGAATTTCTCAACAATATCCCTTGGATGATCCATCTCGGTGATATTGTGAGTGTGGCCCGGCTGTCCCTCCAGAGTCCGGAATTTCCCGCCCTTGGCGGGGATCTTAGAAGGCGCATAGACTGGGTATTGAGATTGTTTCAACATCGGCATGTTGTCATTCTGTATCCTCCCTAGAATCATCCACCAAATTGGCATTTCCGCATTGTACTGAGAGTGTGATGGATGGCTCACCCGCATGCCACGGTTGAAAGAAAATCTTGCCCCCAACATCGTGCACGGCGCTGGTCAATTTGGCCCAGGCATCCGCGTGCTCCTGATGGTACATGACCTGGGCATGAGGCCACTCCGCACTGTGCGGGCAAATGAATGTAACCTCTGCGACAATCCACCCGGCACCATCACGCGCTCGATCGGTGTAATGGGTTATTGTCATCGATACAGCGGTTGCGTGTCATGGACCCCATGCAAATGCGATTGCGGGGTTGGATCGCGTCTTCAAGGGTGACTGGCTGAAGCAGTTCTGCCATTGTTTCCTTTTTGGAGGGATTTTGGGTATAGTACAAGAAACCTTTGCGTAAAGAAAAGACGGACGCAGAGCGGGTATATGCAGTTCTGCAGGTCAATTTATGCCTTACTTTCTTTAGCATAGGATAAATAGAGATTGCATTGTCGCACAAGTTCCTCTTGGGGTTAATTTATACTGATTGCAATGTGGGCAGCTGGCCCGGATGTTGAATGTGGAGCTGGCGGAAACTATTTTCCTCAGTGGGGAAGATATCCATTTCAACGTTATTACACCCCCCCAGTGGGTATGAATTCAACCTGAACAGGACTGTATATTCCCATGTCGCTGTTACCTTCCCGTATGGTGGTTACACTATGCTAGCAGTTTACAATGGGCTGTACATGGCAGGCGAGGCCCAGGTAGGAGTTTTCTTCGAAAATAGCACTTCCCATTCCCTGTGACTATGTTCCCTCTGCAAGAGGAGTCATCACGATTCTAAATGAAAGTTACTCACAGTGCTACATAATCATTTCTAGGGACGAATGTTGCCGACGAAGCCAGCCAGTCACATCGTTTCGGGAGTTGCATATTCCAGCCATTAATAGATAAATTCCCAATTATTCAAGGGAGGTGCAGTTAGAGATATTTCAAGCCTATATTATCATACTATCCTGCTGGAATATATTCCATTGCATGCTCGCAATCCCAGTCATGGAAAATCTCCTTCTGAATAACCCACTCACTCTCACCCCCACTTCCCGCATCCTCCCAACAACCACACATACCCTCCACGCTATCATTACATCTACACCATGGCCCTCTTCAACCTCATCTTCATGTGCATCCTCACCGTCCTCATCGCTGTATACCTCATGCCCGTCCTAACCATCCCCCTGCTCTTCGACTTATGGCCCCATCTGAACGGAAATCAGCGGTTCCTGATATTCTTCTGTGAGATCTGGTGGGTCTGCAGCTGCGTGGTGTTTGTCCTCGCGGCGAGGATGATGATCCGCGCTGTGGATGCTGAACGGATGGTACGTATTTCCAGTTGTTCGTGGTTTCATGGATAAGGTAGAGGAGATGGATGCTAATGCTGGTGTTTGGGTAGCGCATGGAATCGCTGGATTATAATGTGGGGACAGCGGGGTGGGTTCGTGTTGGGGAGCCGAGGGAATGAGATTGAACGCGTGGGGATTTCTGGGATGGAGTGGGACCAGGTCAGAGTACATGATACTATGTACATAGTACGTGCAGAGATAACCTGTGGAGGATGAGCTCAACTAGCGAATGGGCCGGATCACACGCTTTATTGGTGGCTGCACACCTGCTTGGCTGGGATGCTTGCTGAAGGATGCAAGATAAAATTGAATTCGACAAATTTGATGACTGAATTAGAAAATATGTTTGTAGATATTCTTTCAGGAGGCTCAGCATATCGAAATGGTTTCATTGATAAGAGCAGCTATCAGTATCTGCTCGAGTAGGGCTAATAAACTCAAATATTGTTCACATTTCCGCGATCAAGCCTTGCGGCTATAAGTACTCCTTAGTCTCACAAGATAGCCTCTAGAATAAGATGACGGATGGCTTAGCAAGCCAGAAGAGGGCTACTTTCATTGCTGGCGCAGTTCTTCCTGCTTGTTTTATAAATGCCAAGCCTCGGATTCCCGCCTGAGGCCTCAAAGATATGAGCCCGGATTCTGCCGCGCGGTCCCCTTAATCGGTAGGCGGTGGCTGTAATCTTACAGGGTCTCACCGCGGGGCAATTGGATTCCATGATTGGTGGGGCACGTCAGGCTATCAGGGCACGGTTTCCCCCCCAGTCAACCCCGCTCGAGACAAAGTACGTAGAAATCTGACGTGTCCTCTAGGATAGATCTAGTGATAGGGGCAAACTCCTCGTATTGGATAAACCCGCTTCTCGGTTATCAATCAGGAATCGGGAAAGCTGAGTCAGAAGTCCGCATTCAATGGATTGCCAATATTTATTCATGCCAAAGGAGGTTCCATGCCTTGTTTTTGTTTTGATTCTTCTTTTCACGAAGCCTGCGACTTAGAAAACACGATTTTCGAAATCTCACAGCAAGTCCTCCCTGGCAGTAAGTGAGTCTACACCAAGAGCAGCACCTGATTAGTAACCACCTGCAGCTCAAGTCGCTCGAAAATGGCCACGTATCAGAAAGACGCCGCGCTTCACGAGCTCACAACCAGCATTGTTACTTGTCAACCAGTCACCTCCCTTCCTGAATCTCACCGATCAATTTTGAAGGGAGCCGAGGAAGACAGCTTTGTGATCACTACTACCGACACTATCTTTCATCCGCAAGGTGGCGGCCAACCCAGCGATGTGGGATTTATGCACGTTGATGCAGCAGAGGCATCTATCTTCGAAGTCACCGGGGCACGGAAGCTGCCAGACAATCAGATCTATCATGTAGGAAAGTTGTTGGCAGCCGTCCCTCTCAACCCTGGACAGCCGATAATTCAGAAGATCGACAGTCAGAAACGCAACTATCACTCTCGATACCACACGGCGGGTCATATCATTAGCATAGCAGTGAAGCAGCTACATGAAACCATCGGACCAGTTTCCGAGTTGAAGGCAAACCATGCCCCGGGCATGGCATTTGTGGAGTTTCGGGGCCTCATTGGGGGCGAGCACAAGGCTGCTATTCAGGGGAGAAGTAATGAGCTGGTTCGAAGGAATCTCCCGGTGAATGTTTATTGGTTGGACGAAGCAAAGGCCAAAGAATCAGGTGTTGCATTTGCAGAGGGGTTTGTGATGCCTGATGATGGTGTGCTTCGTGTTGTGGATGTGGAAGGCATAGGCGCTTATCCGTGTGGTGGGACACATCTGCCCATGACGTTGGATATTGGGGAGATTGTGGTTCGGAAGATTACGAGGAAGCAGGGTATCAGCAAGATATCTTACGATATTAATTAGGGCAAAGAGGGGATCATCTATCGAGTTATTTCTTAAAGTTGGATGTGCATTATAAAAGGGCGATTGATTGTTGAGTGTTGGTGGTATGAAGACGGAGTTGACCCCTTGAGCAGGTTCCTGTCGACAAAAGAGGAACTGTTGTGTTGAAAATAAAAGTGTTGATGTTTTGTGATAATGATTACTCGCTGATGCGGAGGTACCGGAGGGAAAGGTCTGGACCAGTGTAATACGGTTCTCATTAGCCCGGGATCAGGGAATGGACCCTCAATCCCACACTCCTGTCACTACCCCACACGAAATCACACCCCCTCCCTGTTTGAGGAGGTTGACAGCAAGCTTTCTCCTATCTGGAGAACTCGGATGTAACCTTTCCCCGACCAGATAATATCTGAGGCCCTGTGAGACCTTTAGTTGGCTGGCGTGTGTTTGGGTCGGTCGGCGTGGGTAACCCTGCTTGAGACCTAGAGTTACCTACTAACTGACATTGAGTTAAGGCGGAAAGTGAAAATGGACAGAATCTATCGGACGTTTACACAGAATACCAGCAAGCCAGTGTGCTAGTGTGCTTAGGGCTGATAGGATAGGTAGCTGGTGGGTGCCCTGATACGGAAATGCACTTGCAATTAACTCATCACTCAGCTGGGATATCACAGTCACGAGATAGTCCTCGAATAGAAGATGACGGGTTAGTAAGGAGTCATCCTCGTGGTGTTGAATTCTTCCCTGCATGCAGCGAGAATGTTCCCTTGACGTCATTTCTAGAAGAATGAAAGCAATGCCGTGTATAACATTGCCGCAGAGGCATAACCGACAGCTACCGACTGCCACAGCGTCATCCCACATGGTACCTGAAAAGCTTTTAACCACATTATCAGGAACGTCACCGCCCTCGAATCAGCAACCATTGATCTGAAGTCAGCACCGATGTTTACCGAGGTTTGACACACCGAAGGCAACAGCTTTGATGTGATTTGCGGGGGTCTCCCAGTGGCGCCAATGCAGTGACAATTGGACATGCACTGAACCGCAGCCATGACATCATTGCATCTTGTCGTGGAGATGGTGGATCGGGGCCAGCATGACTCCGACTTAGTTGCATTCGGCATGAAGCCGCCGGTCGCTCCGGAGCCTCGAGACAAATCACACCGTCCCGACCGTGCATGGCGGATCCATTGCCGATGCTCTGATTAGCTGGCTAAAATCCGCAAGGACCCGCCCGGCCCGCCCCACACCCCCTTGCCGGAAATCCGGTTTGCGCACGAACGGCGATGACAACACAAGGCATCCTCAGCACTCCAGATCAGGTCTTATATCTTAAGATGGCCAGATCCCATCGGGTCAGACCACCCTCAAGTGGTATAGCATCGTCATCCCGTTCCTCGTCGATAACACCATCAATGAGATCACATCATGTTCAGCCACGAACAACCATCCCCAACTCGGTCACAACGCAGTTCCCTATCGGACAAGGCTAAAGACAGCCAGGATGATGGGGAACAAATCGCCCCCGGACTCAGTAATGGCACCGGTGTAGAGGCCCGGCCCGACGGCAAACGCGAATTGAAAGAAAACGACTGCTATGATAAACTGGCCTACTGCTGGCCCCGATGGAAGCGATGGATGTATCTGGCCGCCATTGCGGGGGTCCAGGTTTCCATGAACTTCAACACCTCCGTCTTCCCTAATGCGGTCAAGCCGCTGTCGGAGGCGTTCCACATCGGCGAACAAGAGGCCCGCACCGGTCAGATGATCTATCTGATCACTTACTCCATCGGGTGTGAATTGTGGGCACCATGGAGTGAGGAATTCGGTCGTTGGCCTATCCTGCAGCTCTCCATGTTCTTGATCAACATCTGGCAAATTCCATGTGCCTTGGCGCCAAACTGGGGCACCATTGTAGTGTGCCGTGGATTGGTTCGTTCCCCCTGCCCCCCCCCCGTCCCTTACCATGCATCCAAATGTGCTGACTGGTCTAGGGTGGAATTTCAACCGCAGGCGGTAGTGTCACCCTGGGTCTGATTGCAGACCTGTACGAACCTGAAAACCAACAATTCCCCCTCGCTTTCATCGTGCTATCCTCTTGCATCGGTACCAGCATCGGTGGAGTAATCGGTGGACCAATTGAGCGCTGTACGTCCCTTCCTCTCCGCCCCAAGCAACCCACTAACCCACCACCCAGACCTCGCTTGGCAATGGTTCTTCTGGATCATGCTCATCTTCGGCGTCATCGTGCAAATCATCATCTTCTTCATGCCGGAAAGCCGCTCTACGATCCTCATCGACCGAGAAGCCAAACGCCGACGCGAAACCGGCGAAGACCCCAACGTCTATGGCCCCAACGAGCTCAAACACCCCCGCATCTCCCTCAAAGAAGCCGGCAAGATCTGGATCCGTCCGTTCTACATGTTCCTCCGCGAACCCATCGTCCTCTGCCTCTCCCTCCTCTCCGGCTTCTCCGACTCCCTCATCTTCACCTTCCTCGAGAGCTTCTCCATCGTCTACGAAGAAGGCTGGGGCTTTGGTATCCTCGGCCAAGCCTGGGCCGTCATCCCCATCAACGTCGGCTACGTCATCGCCTACTTCTCCTACTTTCCCTGGTTCTGGCGCGACGAACACATCCGCCAAACCCGCGGCGACGATGCCCTCCCCGCCGAGCGTCGTCTCAAATGGCTTCTCCTCCTCGCCTTGTTCGAACCAATCGGCCTCTTCGGCTTCGCGTGGACCTCCCTCGGTCAAGCCTACGGCGTGCCCTGGATCGCATCCATGATCTTCTCCACCATGGTCGGCATCGCCAACTACGCCATCTACCTCAGTTCCGTGGATTACATGGTCGCCGCGTACGGCGTGTACTCTGCGTCCGCGACGGGCGGCAACGCCTTCTGCCGAGACCTGTTGGCCGGGATTGCGGCCATGTACACCACCCCGATGTACACGAATATCGGGAGTCAATGGCACGTGGAATATGCGACGACGATTCTGGCGTGTCTGTCGTGTTTGGTCGTCATCCCGATCTATATCTTCTATTGGAAGGGGCCGCAGATTCGCGAGCGGAGTAAGTTTGCGCAGACGTTGGCGTCGGATCGGAAGGCCAATATGGGCAGGCGAGTTAGTAAGGAGGATGCGGCGCCGTAGATAGTCTGATTACCACACTTCGAACGCATTGTGCGGGTGGGATATTGTACATTGGGTGCATTGTATATATATTATGTTTTAGATGATGATAGATATGACTTACGATTTCAATCCTGGCTTTCTGTCCGAGTAGTTCTCCCAGTCCCATATGCATGAGATATATATTCAAGAGCAGTATGCCCATATAACTCATCGATTGTCGCCCTGTCCTATCTTTCAACAAAACAAAACATAGTAGACACATATCATCATGCCCTCCCCAATAAAGCCTCCCTCTCCTCCACCCCATCCCCCACCCCATCCCCATCAACCCCCCTCCACCTCCTCCACCCCACCCACAAAACCAACACGCCCTGCACGACCCCCAAAACCCCATAATCGACCCCAGCCCACGCATGCCCAAAATACGCCCCCAAATGCAACGGATCCCACGCCTCCCGATACGCGATCCTGAATGGCCACGACGCCGCTACCAGCCCAAACACAACAGCCTGAGCTGCCAAGCCGGTCATCGACAACGCGGAGTCCGTTCCGTGGATCTTGCTCTGTCCGGCCTGAAGACACACGGCGAATCCAGCGAGGAAGGTGGCGATGGGACTGAGGAGGATGGTGTGTGTGGCAACGAAGGCTTCTTGGTAGCCTTCGTGGGGGAAACGGAGGAAGGGATCGATGAGTTCGGGGAGGAGGGAGATGAGGAGGATGAGGGTGTAAGTGGTTATGTAGGGGCGGGGGTTGTGGGATGGGGGACGGAGGTAGAGGGATGTGATGAACCTGTTTGGTTTCATTTTGTTTAGTTGGGGACATGTCAGGGAGAGGGTAGGGTAGGGACGAGGGAGGGGGGCGTACAGAGTGAGAAAAAGAATCCACGTGGTTAGGGTTTGGAGAAAATTCAACCAGTCCCCGGGATTGATCGGGTCGTGGATGAATTGGCCGGCGGCGGCTTCGGGGACGTTGATCATCATGTATGTCAGTTTGGTGAGGTGTTCGGTGGCGACGAGGAGGTGGGAGAGGATGTAGCCGATGGAGATGCCGGTGCTGGATTTGGTGGTGTAGAGGGTGTGCAGTTGGGGGGTGAAGGAGAGGATCGTGAGGATGATTAGGGTACTGGGGTGGTTAGTTGGGATATGGGTGGGAAGGGGTTTGGGGGGGAAGCCAACATTCGAATGGAATTGGGGACTTCGTGATATGTCATTTTGATTGAATGGGTCAATTGGAGGGGATGGTGTTTGATGTTGGGTAGTTGTCGGGTCTGTCGTGGTTGAGGTTGGGACTAGCATTGTGGCTAGCCGAAAGTGACTAGTAGGATGGTTAGCATCGGAGGAATCCCTGCTACAGCGAGCTTCAAGTTTCATGTGGTTGCATCTCTGAAGGAGTCTGATCGTTTCTATCAGTGTTGAGTAGTAAGGGACACATCTCTGGATTAAATCATATTCTTCCTACTTCTCCAGAGCAACCAACTTCCTGGCAACCAATTCAGCCAACAACTCGTCCCGATTCGCCTCGACCTTCTTCAAATCCACATTCTTAACCCACCCATCTACTATGTCCTTCAGCGCATCCACCCTTTCCCTCGAACCCAGATCAAACCGATGCTCCTGCATATCATCCAACCAGCACCTCAACGCCGGCCCCAGATGACTGATGAAATGCCCAAAGTCGCCCCCGCCGCCCAGCGTATTCGTCATGATCGGCCCGGTGAGTGCCCATCGCAGACCCAGGCCAGACGTGATGGTTTTATCTGCTCCGTCAGACCGATCCAACTGCATGGAAGAAAGGGAGTAACTAACCTAAGTCCTCCGGAGACACAACCCCCCTCGACACAAGACTATACGCCTCCGCACACACCGCCGCCTGAAGACGATTCGCAATGAAGCCCGGAGTTTCCTGTTTCACAACAATTGGATCTTTGTCTAAACTGAGGTAGAACTCCCGAGCTGCCGTGATGTATTCCTCCCCTGTCGCGGAATGAGGAACGATTTCCACCAGGGGAACCAAGTGCGGAGGGTTGAACGGATGGGCGATGAGGATCCGGGAGGGATTTCTCTTGCAGTCGGTGATGAATTGTGAAGAGGGGAGGCCGGATGAGGAGGATGCGATGATGATGTGCTCCGGGGTGTGGGCGTCGAGGTGGGCGAAGAGTTGGCGTTTGATGTCTAGTCGTTCTGGGCCGTTCTGGTTTGGTTAGTGGGGGCCAAAAGAGAGGTGTGGAGGTGGACGGACTTCTTGGATCAGGTCGATAGTTTCTAGATAAGGGTCGATGTCGGTGACGAAGGTGTAGTTTTGCATGCAGGCATCTAGTGAGCAGGTAGCATTTGGAACCGCGGAACAATACTCCTGCAAATAGTCACGGAGTTTGGCCTCCGCTCCTGGCGCTGGGTCGGTCACGATAACTCGGAGGCCTTTGGCAAGGAACAGGGCGGTCCAGCTGGCGCCGATCAGCCCGGCACCGATGACACCGACGGTTTTGATGGAAGACATGATGAGAGCTGGTTGGTATGCATTTGAGTTGAGATTGCGTAAACTATATAAGCTTGATGCTCCGGTTCGGAAGCGTGGTTTCGACCCTAATTAGGAACAATATCCCTCGGAAGGAGAATCTCGGAAGTGTTTCAGGCTTCGGGATTCGCTCGGGGATTTCTCTGCCCGGATAATATACGGACATTTTGGGTCAATCCGATGCGTTCCGTGACTCGGGACACGGGATGTCGAGGGTGGATCGGTGGATCAGGACCAAATGAAGGGGCGTGGTGCCAAGGTATAAGTACCGAGTCATGATCTGGATCGTTCCAACTTTACATCCATCTCTTCTTGAATACAGCTGTCCAGAATGACTTCTCACGAAACCATACCAAGTCCAGACATCTATGGTCCTGGGACCTTTGCGGATAAGGATTTCCTTCCCGCGCCCCAAGATGCCCGTCGTATCTTCGAGTATATTGCCAAGAGCACGCCCGGCTTCACTCAGAGCAAAGATCTTTGGAATACCGTCCAGTTCCAAGGCAGTGAGCTGCCGATAATCCCGGGTCCATTCAAGGCCCCTCTCATCGCCGCGGCCCTGCACGCCATGTGTGGAGTCGTCGCCCACGAAATCGTGCAAGATCGCGATGGCACAGCAGCCAGTACTCAACGGGTCAATGTGAATGTCGACCATGCTGCCATCTGGCTAGGTACTATCTTCGCGGCATCTGTCCAAGGCAAAGATATGTCCGAGCTCGTCAGATCACGGGAGCTACGTACCCTCTTTCAACGCGATTTCGAAGGAGACTTCATGTCATCACCCATGAGACAGCGCACTACGGCGTTGTACAAGACCAAGACTCCGGGCGTGTGGTATCAACTGCATGGCTCCCTGGATGCGGCCCCCGTCCTGCGGGCCCTAGGCATTGACCCTGAGTACCCGGCCAAGACCTCCGACGAAGCATATGAGCACATTGCTCGGCATGTCGAGCAATGGACGGCCGATGAGCTGGAGATGCTTAACATCAAGAACGGGTTCTGTGGGAGTATCTGCTTCACACCGCAGGGGTGGAATGAGACCGCTATGGGAAAGAGGCTCGCCTCTCATCCACTCGTTAATTACTCTCGTCAGTCGCACGCCATCCCGACACCACCAGTCCCGTTCCCCAAGGTCGCAGACAAGCGGCCACTGGCAGGGATCAAAGTGGTGGAGCTCGTGCGCATCATTGCCGGTCCGGTCATCGGCTCCACACTTGCTGCATTTGGGGCGGATGTCATTCGAGTGAACTGCAGCCGCTTGACAGATCTCAACGTATGCCACCATTCTGCCTCTAGTTGAGACGCCGTGTTAACAGAACGCATAGGTCCTGCAACTTACCCTGAACGCCGGAAAACGCACCATCGACCTGGACCTAACCAAAGAAGACGACAAGTCGCGACTGCGAGAACTCATCGCAGACGCCGACGTATTCATCCAAGGCTTCCGCCCCAACGTCATCGCGCGGAAAGGTTTCGGAGTCAACGATCTTCTCGAGATGGCCGGCACCCGGGGCAAAGGGATCGTCTACGTGGAGGAGAACTGTTATGGACCGGACGGCCCGTACCACGAGCGACCGGGGTGGCAGCAGATTGGCGATGCGGCGTCAGGTTCATCCTACGTTATGGGTCGCTCTCTGGGTTTCAAGGATGGGACGAGCATTCTTCCCCCACTGCCTATCTCTGATATGACCACGGGGCTGGTGGGTGCGTTGGGTGCTCTGATGGCGCTGCGGGATCGGGCCCGACATGGCGGTTCGTATCGGGTGACGAGTTCGTTGGTCAAGGCTGATGCGATTGCCTTGGAGCCGGAGATTGGGCTTTACGCACCTGAAGTGGTGGAGAAGAGTAATCAGCTGTTCAAGTGGGGATATATTGGGCCTTCCTTGTTTGTCACGGAGATTCTGCTCGTTGTTATGGATGGGTGGAAGAGGGTGTTTGCTCAATACTTTGCAGCTGGGCCGGAGTCGGTCTTGACTAGCTTCCCGGAGGGGCCATGGGGTCACATGGAGCTGCTGAAACCTGTGGTTCAATTGAGTGATACACGTGTATCGCCTCGTTGGTTGACACCGTCGGTTCCGAACTGTTATCATCCTCAGAGCATCGAATGGCTTTAGCTCTTGAGGGATCAACTTGTGACTGGGAGCTGAGTGAGATATGCGCTGTAATGTTCACTTTGGGTCTGCATGTGCGGTAGCTTTTATTAGATATAGAGTTTCTCTCTGAGACCTCTTGAATCAATGCTCTGGATAGAGGTTATCCTCTAACTCCCAGCTTCCGGCTGGGGTATCGCCATTTAACTGCGCAAAGAACATGGGCCAGTCGTTCCAATCGAACGAATATTGCTCACCCATCGCCAAGCTATACGAGATGGGTTGAGGGTCTTGTCGATCCATGGCTAGATCCTGCATGAATGTTTGGTCCTGGTCACCCACGGACACTTCCCCCGGGGCATAGTCTGCTATCAATTTGAGAACCGAGCTACACCTCGAGGCCAAGATAGGATGTTCTTCATGATCTTTGAGAATGTCGCGAGCCTGCTGCAAGATGTCCTGCAGACGAGCATCTGAGAAGTACTCGACTATCTGTGGGGATGATTTGGCTGCCAGCAAATTCGTTACAGCCATGTATACATCTGACTTTGTTAACACGGTTGGCTGTTTTGAAGAGTACGACTTACATGAGACAGTGTACCAATGAGATGGTAGGATGTAGGCTTGTTTTTGCTCTGGTGAGTTTCGGCCGATGAACTCAATCATATCGGCGGCAGCTTTGGTGCAGTTCAATTGGCACTGGAAGACGACATGAGGCATGATCTGGTCGTCTGTATACAAACCGCCTGGGGGATTCTCTGGTCTTTGTTGGTGGATTTGTAACAGCAGAAGTCTGAAAAGGAGGAGTCGGACAGACAGGTACCTGAACAGAAGCGCCCATCGTTAGTGTTAATCTACCGCTGGATGATCAAGTACAAACCGGGCACGTAGAACATTCGCCTCCCGAGTGATATGCTTGGTAGGCGTCGGGTCTTCAGCATCCGACGGCATTTGGAAGAAAGGGTGGAGGCTACGGGCCCAATCGTTCAGCGCGGAGTCAATTCGAAACAGGCTCGCAAATTTGTCGAAGAGTGATGAGCTTTGCTCTGTCTTGGTATCGCCGACGATGTAGAAGGTTTCCAGAACGTCTCCGATGATGTAGTGCAGTCGACAGAATGAGATATAGAAGTTGACTTTGGATGGTAGTGCTATGTTGGCAGTATCGCTGGGCAGGGTCAGGGCGTTCAGCCCTTTTTTGGCAACTGATTGGGGGATTTTAAGGGCGCACCCGAAGGTCATGGAACAGATTCTGACTGCCTTAGTTATGCATTCCACCTTCACGGCGTATCATACCTGTCCAAAATCACACATCCATTCCAAACCTGACGGGCTAGGTCCCGCTCCTTTGGATTCTCCATCGCCTCTGTCGTTTCAGGAATATGTAACCCCAGCTCCTGGGCAATATGAATGGCCATTCCAATATTTCGGAAGCATCTCTGGGGCTCTCTCTCGTGCTGTTGATATACCGCCGTGAGCAAGAGGATCTGGATGATTTCGAAGTTGTACATTTCCATCACGTCGTAGGTCATCAACTCTTGGGCTCTGGTGAAGAAGACGGGCGAAGAGTGATCGCGGGAGAGGGGGGGCTCGCCCTGAGAGGCAACACACGATGTAGCAAACATCAGATTCAATAAGCAATGCAGAACCCTCTCATTCATCGCCGGTTCTCCATCTTTCACCCATAGAGTCTCGTATGCGCTTTCAATGGCCGGCCGATCCAGCCAGGGGTAGGCGCTGTCAACATAGTCCCAGTACAGATTGAAGAGGATATCAGCCACCTTTCGTGGGGGAATGGAATACTGCAAATCAGGTGCTTTTCGTGGGGCTTGTCTCTGTAACCGTGGCAGTCGTTTGAGCGCTTTGGGCAAGCCTCGACTGCTGTTTTCTTGTGTGTTCCGAGGAGTGCCTTCCGGTAGGATATGTACTCCACCGGATGCGCCAAAAAGACTACCACTCGGTACATACGAGCTTGCCCGATCATTGTCATCCGTTGGGAGGTCATTCATTGGACGTTCACTCATATCCCCTGACTGCTCTGTGCGGTCTATGGCTGTCCTCTTTCGGGCACGAGAACTGTAAAGCATTAACCACGAGCAACCCAGCAACGTGCCAAACACTTACACAACCGGAGAATCCCCGCTATCAGTCTCCCGATATACACAATCCGGCGAAGCTCCTTTCCGTTTCGCACAAGGCCCGCATACTACATCAGTGAGAAATTGACCACACGCCAGGTCATCACGGGCTTACTTGGTCTGGCACCATCGCATTTCGTCTTGCGAGCTTTGCAAACATTGCAGGCGACGTTGATCTTGACGCGTTTCGGCCTCGGTCCTCGAAGTACCTGCCCTGGTGGAGAGGACTGGCTGGTCTGGAAGGTGAACATCATCTTGGATGCCGGAAGAGACACGATTTCCTTTCCGAGTTTTTCCCGGATTTCGGGTATTTTAGGATGATGTCATTGCTGTTTCCGTTCTGAATTAGGCATTCCGATGGTATGTTTATGTAAGTTAACACTTCTGCCTGAGGAATCAGGTATCGCTAAGAGTGACGAATATCGGAATCCATCTTTATCTTTCACGCAGTTCCTTGACCAGACAGCTCCCTTTTAGTCTACTTTGAAACCTCTCACATAGGATACCAGACAGACATACCTCCTGACTGCTTCATATGTCGCCAGTCTTCCTCGTCCTGCAAGATCGGAGGCCATGGAACGACCGGATGCCAGGGCGAAGTAAGAGAGCCACCGCGATACGTGGGGAGAACTTATTAGACCCTAGCTGCGGTAATTGGTGGATGATACACTACTAAACATAGGGTGGCGTCCGTTTCAATGGCACGAGAGACATCCGGACATGACAGGCGGAGCTAGTCGCAAGTCACCTATCGCTGTCATATCTCACATCACATCATTCTCATAATTGCCAAGGCACACATCGCAGAATGGAAAGTACAATTTCTCACGATGCAACTCTTCACCCAGAGTGAATGCTACGCATTAGTCCTGCACTGTGCTGACCTAGCGGTCATCCTCACCGGGGAGAATTGCCATCAAGGTTGGGATCTGGATCGGACCTTGGGGTTTAAGCAATTCTTATGACTGCAGCTTACCTAGCTAGACTACTCATGGAGCAGATGCGCCACACCTATACCGTTATTCTACGTTGGAGCTAAGGCATGACGAGAACCTGGATAGCACGCAACAGATGATGTAGTATCGGTCCCATATAGAATTCCATATATCGAGAGAACCTTGGTAGTCTGAGCCAAGAGTGACAGCGAGCTTTAGCAATATCGCTTGGAAAAAATCTGAGACATCACACAACCCCTGACGGGAAAGAGATCGAGTGCTGGGGTTCAGGGTCCTCTAGCGGCATCGCTAGGTGGATCTGAGACATGATGAGAACCTTGATAGTCGGAAACACCGGATAGCAGAGCATCACTCTCACATGAGGGCCAAGACATTGCAAACACCTTGATGGACAGAAGTAGCAGCAATTGCTCCCAGAATCCAGATACAAAAGGCCGACAAGACCCTGCCTCATCACCCTCACTACCATCACAGCATCAATCCATCCATTCAAGTCTTTCCCAAGTCAACCAAACCACCTCGATCAAAATGAAGTCCGCCATTGCCTTCTCCGCTCTCATTGCCAGCGCTCTCGCCGCCTCTCCCTTCCAGCTGATTATCAGCGACTCGCAGTCCCGCACCAGCGAACTCCAGAACCGCGCCCTGATCAGCCAAGGCGACGCCTTCATCGTGGCTCCCAACGGCGACCACGGTATCAACTTCGTCGGCGGTGATGGTACTCTGGGCATCCAAAACGGCGATGTCGGTGAGTTCTCCCCTCCCCTCCCCTCCAACCACATCACCCTAACCATGAAACAGTCTACGTCGGCACCGACGGCCACGTCGACCTCAAGAGCATCAACGGCATCGCCGCCGGCGGCTTGACCGAGGGTTTCACGACCGGCAGCAACAACGTTCTCGAGTGGGCTCAGGGCTCCGTCTACGCCTGCCCTCATGTCTCCCTCTACGCGGCGGGCCCTCCCACCTACATGATCTACGTCGACCGGTCCGGTGCTACTCTTCCCGATGGCTGCATTGAGGTCGAGCTGACCAAGAAGGCTATCTAAATCTGGGGATTTGTGGCCTGGGATAATGGGATCGTCTAGATAGTTTAACCAATACACTCCTTGACATCTATCTATACCTAGAACTGTACACCAAAATCCACTGTATCACAATCCAACGGCCACCACCCACGATATCTCAACTCAACCTCCTTAAGTAACACCTCACCACCTCCTCCTCCTACTTCCCTTATAATCAATAATTCAGAAAAAGTCGGTACCGAAAACATTTCGGGTCTCTGGATCCCACTGATGCGTAATTGGGCAACTAGCTGCTTCGGCAAGTGGCAACTATTCCAGCCAAGCCATTTGAGACCGGAAGTACTTGAGACCAACAACGATAGCGAGTGAGACAGTTGGACTTGAGTAAAAGGAAATTTGATTCGCTAGACAATGAAACGAGCACACCCATCTACTTAGGGTACGCCATCTGTGGTGCCATCTGATCACCCGCCAACTCCGGCCTGGTCCGTAACTCAACCTCCTTTTCCTCCTGGGTCAGTGCACAGCACCCACACCAGAACGTCACCCAGCAATACCCACAGCAAGAGCCCTCAATGCCATATTGTAGCATCCAATGTGTCCAGGTGACGGCCAGAAGTGTGAAGATGGCGCACTATAGAATCAGTATCCAGATTTTGGTAGATAACGGCTTCGTACCTCTCCATTGCAGGAATTGTAGTTGTCGAGCTTTGGGTTCTGAATTCGACCTTGGGTTTTGCCAAAGGTGGGACACGGGAGGAAGCAGGTGGTGAGGCCTGAACGTGGATGAGTACTCTTTCTGTACTCATAGACAGAACGAAGAAAACATACACAAAGAGCCCGGAGAGCAACAGTCACCCAGAGAGTCATTCCAGTTTTTGTTGGCAGTGACACGCTGGACTTCATCCGAGTTGGCCGCGTGGTACGTTGGCGGGTTCGTCGGCCATGCCCGGTAACCGTTCTGAGTATCTGCCATTCTGTGTCTGTCGTGGGCTTTCTGGTCGGACATTGGAGAGATACTGAAAGTGCGAGAAAAAGAATCCAATGGTTGGGTGCTTTGAAGTATGGATAGTGATGCGTCTGGAAACATTCCATCCCAGGCCCAACCATACTAAGCTGGGAACGGGCAATCCGTATTCGTCTCCCCAAAGGGAAATTAGGTTCCCCAATCATACTGAAGAGGCTATCCCCACGTCAGCCCGCGGGTCCCGAGCTTAATTCGAGACAGAAAGACCCTTTCCAGGGGTTTTTTCTCTTTTCTTTTTTCTTTTATTTCCTCTAGGCCGGCACCAAGACTAGCCGATAAAGTATCCTACGGTAGAAATTGTTGCGAAAGGGACTAGATAGTAGCCTTCCAAGACCGTTCCCTGAGCTTCCCCTATTCCAAGGCTATGCACGGTGATGACCATCCTTTTTTGTCACACCACATTGCATCTACCTGGGTTTCCTTAAGTGTGGCTTGGCTCTCCATGGCGAAGACACGTGCGATTGAACCTTTATGGGCGCATGATAACAGGCCACAGGTGAACCCAGCCTGGAAATCTCTACTACCAGTGCCAGAGATATTTGCATAGTCCAAAGAACATATAGTATATTATTGATCACAATCTTATCCCTTTCCACCCCGTATCCTCAAGCCACGACGAGACCCTATTGATTCATCCCTACAGTCTAGTCATCGCCACCACAGCAGCATTCGAAGCAAAGAAGACCACAGCACCTGCAACGATCAGTCTCGTATCGAGGTGTTATAGGGGAAGGAACATACACGCCACAGCAAACCTCACTCCCCTCACCGCCGCCGCGCAGGCCGACCTCTGTCGCATCATGGATCACCTGGATGATTAGCCGACTTCAAAGGCAAAGTTGGGGATACGGCAGCAGCTCACCTCAGGGTTGGGATTCTCGGGGGAGACGGGTTGTTGCATCGTCACGGTTTCAGTGTCCCAGACCCGCTCCTTGATTTCCAGCGCAGGGGTGCTGCTGAAGGGGGTGAGAAGCCATTCAAAGAAGTTCATGATGCTTTCGCAGTTCGGTGAACCAAGGGGAGAGGGACGGAGAAAAGATGGCGAACTGAATAGACCAATGCGCGACAAACGGCTACTTATAGTGCAGCGGTTGGAATTGATCCGCCCTGTGGTGCTGAACTTGCTTGGTAAAAGCTCCCACTTGTGGCTGCCTAACCAATTAATTTTCTAACGAATACTAGTGAATCGTGAGTGGGTCAAGGGTCCAGAGGTGCCACCACCAGCCACAATTCATCAACCTTTTTGGAAAGGGAACCAGAATTGGAGTCTACTGAAAGGGAGAGCGGCAGTAAATCTCAAATAGGATGTGGATAGGGGATACGACCATTGTCATTGAGTAATTACCCGGATGTTCTACCAATAAACTTGGCTCTGTCCCTCCACTCAAGGTACTAGACTGGGTGCCTATTTTGCCAAGCCCATCGCTCTCAGGACTATCATATGTGGTTATATGGAGGAACGTTTGTCCGCAAGGCTTCTAAAAAAACAACAACTTGCGCAGGAATCTAATTTTTGAAATCACACCGTAACGTAACACCCTACGGGCGTTAAAATTAGATAAGTTTCTCGTAACTCTCATCGCTATTAAATAATACTAATATTGATTAGTTATTCTGAGAATAGCATCGAAGACATTTAACTAGTCTAGTTTAGTTATCTCTGTGAGGAAATCAGAACATTCCTAGAAATATATTTTAAATCTCTAATATAATATAAATACAATACTTAAATACCTAAAAGTAAGTAAGAGCTCTTAAGTATCTAAACTAGTTACTAATTATATTAAGAATATGTAGAAATTCCTGGTAGATTTATTAAAATATAAAAAAGTATTTGTATTCCTTAGAGATTATTATAAAAAAATTTTCTTTTTTTATTAATATTTATAACTAGATTAATATTACTATATAGAAAAATATGCTACCACTACTACATAATTTAATATAATTAAGATTAATTTTAATAAATATATTCTTCTCTAAGCTGATAGAGGAGATTCAGATTATTATTAAATTTAGTAATCTAGAGAGTATAACTTAGTTTTATAAAATACTTCTAAAGAATATCCTAGTAAAGACTGAAAAAATATATATCTAGATTTATTAAACTAATATTTTTTTTAATTATTATAAAATTTATCATAACGCGGCAGTTTAAGTTAAATAATTTAAATCTTAATCTCTACTTTATTATAAAGATAAAGACTACCTAGTAGTATTCCTCATAAGTATATAAATTTTAAAAAGATATAGTTATCTATTATCCAATTTAAAAAATTATAATTTATAAAATATAAATTAAATTAATTAATCTTATTTAACTAAAAAAAATTAATAAAGCTTTATTAATAGATAATATCTACTACTAGAAAGATAATATTAAGATTTTTTATATATACTAATTAATTATCTCTCTCTAGAGCCTTAAGAAGTAAAAATCTTTAATAATTATTATTAAATTTACCTTTCTTATTCCAGTAAATAAAGCGATTGAATATAATATTATATAAGATTTTTAAATCTTAATTATAATTAAATATAATTAAATATTACACATCTATTAATACTACAATTATTAATAATATAATTATATAAAAAATATTTATTTTAATTAAATAATCTATATATACTGCACGGAGTATCACCAGACTTATAAATATTTATAGAGAAAGATAAGTAAAATTGAAAAAATTAAAATATATTAATTATAGAAATATATATTACACATAGAGCTAAATATATTTAATTTATAAGAAAAAAATATAATAAATTATAACTAAATTTATTAAAAAATTATTTAAATATTATTACTCTATTTTTTTCTATTTTTAAATTATTTTATTTTTAGTAAGGATAATCTCTATAAATAAACTATTATAAGATAATATTTTTAGAAATAGTAATCCTAGAGACACTACTATATTTTTATTTAATAAATTAATAGTAATATAATAGATATAATAAATATAAAAATAATAGATTTAATACCTACTAAAGCACATATAATAATAAAAATAATAAGTAAAAGTAAGTAGGCTAGTTATAAGAATAAAAATAAAAAAATAATAATATTAGTAGCTTTTATAAAACTATAAACTAGATTAATTCTTAAATTTTAAATAAACTAATTATTTAATTATAAAATTAGATAATAATCTACTAGAAAGAAGATAATAGCTAAGATTATATATATATATAATTAGTAAATAAAATAGTTAAAACTATTAATATATAGTTAAAAAAAATCTAAAGGATTTTATACTTTGAGTCTAAATATAATTTTAAATATAAGATATTAGTAATCTTATAGAGACTATAACTAGCTTAGTTAAAGCCTATATAAAGAATAATAAAAATATTAATAAAAATTAATAATAATAATCCTGATTCTAACCTCTATACTTTAATATAAACTTTAAAAGTTCTTTTTTAATTTCTAGAATAAGATCTAATATCTTCTAGTTTAATATTAAATAAATCATTGAATAGTTCCATATTTAATATTATAATATAATTTAGAAAATATAGAGCTAATAGTGTAAGAAGTAACTTATTATTTTACTATATTTATTTATATTATAAAACCAAGGAAATCCTAGAGATATTTAAATAATAAATAAAAAACTATTATAAATTATCTAGTATAATATAAATAAATTAAAAAATATAATAATAAAATATTTTTTATAGGACTCTCAGGTCTTTAAAGCAGATATTGTTATAATTTAAAAATTATAAAAAAACTCTATCTTAAATATTATATATAATTTTACTTATAATTATTAATTACTATATCCAGCGGTTATGATAGAAAATTAAGTATAAATATATATATTTATCTCTAAAAAAATTAACTCAAGTAAATAGTAATATATAAAATATTTATATAATATATAGAAGCTCTATCTCTATAATAAATATAAATAGATCCTATACTTATTAAATATATATAATAGTAATAGTAAAATAATTATAAATATTTTAATAAGTCTAATCCCATTAGACAACAAGTAATTAAAAAATAAAGATTGGTTTATACTAAGTAACTTTAATTTTTATTATCTTATATAAGATAGTGAGAATGTAGAATCTAATCTTAAAATAAATTTTCTACTAATTCTAATAAATAATACTAATTTAAATCTTTAATTTAAATTAAGTATTATTACTTAGAAGTATATAAACTATGTGACGGCAGCCTCATTCAGGATCATGTGACCATATTTATTTCATTTACTTTAATATTATTTTCTTCAAGTAAGCGCCCATAATACTTCTTGTTTTCCTTTTTTCCTTCTTATGCTTAAAGTTCTAGAATAGTTAGCACTAATATAACCTTATTTTACTGTGTTAAACGGCTATCTTATAATTTTAAGTATTATTTTTTATTCTTCTTCTACTACTGTACACGGCTAGCTTCTATTAAGCTATTAATAGTCCCTATTCTATATTTTTAATGACGCTTAACAGCTAAAAAACTTACCTAACTGACTGAATAAATAAAATAGCCAGAGAAAGTACCTAGATTCTTAGTTCTAAGAATAATTAATAACTTTCCGCGATATTGCCTGATAAACTAGACTAGAAAGATAGATTTAATTAGATTAAATTTAATAATTAATATAAGAAAGATCTGAAGTAGATCTTCAAGATCCTTCTAAAGATTTTTAATATTTTAAAAACTAAAAAAGATAATCTTCTGGACCAGCAGGATTAGTAGGCTTAGAAAATTAAGTATTTTATTAGAAAATAAGACTACTTTACTGTGTAAGTTTTATAATAATAAATATATTTAGATTAAAATATTTCTATAGAAATAAAGAAATTTATGAAGATTCTAGATTCTTCTCTATTTAATAATAGCGTGGATTTGATTTATAAAAACTAGGTTCTTACTATGTAATAAAAATTAGAAGTTAATATTAATTAGTATAGTATTTTTATTATATATAAGATATATATTACCAGCCGATATTAGAATATTATTAAAAGATATCTTATTTTATACCTTTATTCTAACGCCATTAACTTCTTTTTTAATTTAGATAATATATTTAAATATCTAAAGATTATCTTTACTAATTTTAATAAGATTTATAATGCCCGTTACCAGTACCAAGACTTATAGATAAAAATTAGAGATAAATTTTATATTTCTATCTTAATTTTTTATTATTTTGCTGTTGAAGCTGGAGTTAATAAGAGTATCTAAAAAAATAATCTCTATAATAAATTCTCTATTAAACTTTAAGATCTCACTGTGTATAATTATAATAATAAAGATTTTAAAAAATTTGTGAAGTAATATGTTAATTTTATAAATATAATTAAAAAATAAATTAAGAAATATACTAAAAGCAACTTTATAATAATTAAAAATTATATTAAATTTTATATATTTTATTCTTTTATTATTATTTTAAGTATTATAAGTATTTCTTTTAAATCCCTGATCTAAGTTTTTAGTATAGAACTGGAGATTAAAGAGACACTGATAAAAAATAAGAAATATTTTTATTATAAAAAATCTAGTTATAGGAGTAAAGAATATCTTAAAAAAAAGATTATATAAGTAAAAGCTCTGGAAGTCTCTATAAAAAAATTTAAATTAGTAAAAAATAATATTTAGGAAAAATCTCTATCTTAGATAAGCTAGAAGCTTAAATAAGTATGATAAATTTATAAGATTTATTAAAAAATAATAGTAATAATTTTATAATTATTATTTTATTTTTTAAAGATAGTATCGCTATTTTTACTTGTATATTTATTAATTCTGAAATTAATATTTATTTAATAATAAATATTTAATTTATTATTAAATTAGTCTGATACTTTAAAATCCTAATACTATCTTTAAAGAAGGTAATTCTAGTTATAGACTTTAATAGAAAGTAGACTATTAATTTAATATATATAATTTAATTAAATTTTATAATTAATAGTTACTAATTTTTAAATACTCTCTTTCTTATATTGGACTTGGGAAGGTATGATGCTATTTTTAAAAAGATATAATTTATTAAATATAATATCTTACTAGATTATTAGAATTATTGATTAATCTAGCTAAGTTAGTTAATATTAAAGAATAAGGTAAAAGTTAGACTTCTTATAAATATTTTTTAAATTATTTTAGAGCGGTCCCCGGTGGATTATAAATATTAATAAAATATAGTTTAGAAGGACTATAAGATGTAATTAAAAAATAAATAATTAAAGTTTCTATAACTATTATTAATTCTTCCTTATATTAACTGAAGTAGTTTATATAAAATTTTAGTAAAAATAAAATATAATTTAATTAGAGAGAATTATTAATATTATCTTTCTTCTAGAATCCTGAAGTCTAAACTGA